CAGTTTCAGTGCATATACATCCCTGCTGCCACCCCTCGCATGGCCTGGTACTGCTGGGCAGGGACAGGATTGTCCCTGGGTCTCTGATGGGAAGCATGGGGAGGCACCATCCCACAGGTGTGCCAGACACAGAAAAGAAGCCAAGAGGAAAGACCAGCATTTGCCCAAGAAGCACAAGTCAAAAACCTCACAGAATAATTATTTTAAGATTACAACGAAGCACTTTAAAACAGAAATAATCATGACTGCCACAGGTCTCCCCAGAAGTCAGCTTAATCCTGCTGAAATCCAGACAACCACAAGCCATATAAGCAGCTGTGAGCACCTCTACCTGGGTTGGCCTACACATGGCCACTTTCTAAAAAATCCCATTTCCCTTTATGAATAGGCATGATCTGCTTATTAAGACAAGAAGCACTTTCCCCCATCCCTCCCTCCCTCCTCCCTCCCTCGCTCCCTTTGTGGTGACTGCAGCAGGGCTGGTAAGTTATGCATGCTGGAGCTGTTCTTTTGTGAAGGGGAGATGTTACAACTTGTGTGATTTGCCATTATGCTGTCTTTTGTGACAATCCTGAGATGGAAGGAAATGTCTGGAATATTTCTGGCAAAAAAATTAAAAAATCCCAGGTCCAAGAAAGGATTCAGCAGAGGATGCTGGCATGCTTTACATTGGAGAGAAGAAAGACAAATCACACTTCAGTGCCCTCACCCCCAAAGCAAAAACCATCTTTATAAGCACGTAAGGATTTTATAAATCCCTAAGTCCCTTCCTCTGAAAATACAAAACAGCTATGAAATTTTCTGAGTAGGGAAAAAGCCTTCTTCTCTTACCCACTGATGAGCCTGTGGCCTGGATATCATACTAAGACAACTTTGTCTAGAATTTGCATTTACAATAGAACCTGGAAACAAAGTTAAATTCTTTATATCAAGTACTGAATTTTTGTATTCCCAGTTAGTGCTTACTCAGGAAAAGTGTAATTATTTTTATAACGTATTTTTCAATAATATTTTGCATTTGACAAAGTATGCTTTACAAGAGAAAAATCCACTCTCCTCAAAAAAAAACCAACCCAAGAAAAATTTATTTGGCAATTAAAGACATATATCATGAATATATTTCACCTTCAAAGTGAAGCACTCATCTGTAGAAATGTACTTTGATTTAGGTCTTACCTTTTTCAAGTGAACAGTTTCAGTGTCTCCAACACTACTGAAATTCAACCATTATTTTGATAAGAATAATGATTGTCTACATAGAAGACTCAAGGGGGAAAATATATCAGAGGTGAATTTGTTTACAGCACAACTGACCTTAAGTTTAAAACATTTGAACAAGTTTTGCAGGCCAAATAATATACAGCACAAAAAGGGCTGAATTATCACAGTTTGTGCTAGAAATCGGATGTTGCTTTATGTACTGAATTTCTATCTTTCTTTTCTAAAGTAACCATTGGAATAATTTTCTTACAGAATGATAGTTGCTATGACAACCATAGCAAATTTTCGTTTTCTGAAACAGATGTCTCATTTAGTTGAAAATTAGAATGTGAAAAACCCATGGGAAAAATTAATTCAAACTTTAACAGAACACTGACTACAATGTAATCTCTTATAGGTTAACCCCTTAACATCTTTCTGCACTCCTATAGTAACCTTCTCATAAATTCTAATTAAACCAGTTTAACCTCCTAGGAATGACCTTCTTAACTATCATTAGCACTTTAGTTGTATTTGAAAGGATCATTTGTGTTATAATAGTAACAGAAAAAAAATCATAGTAAAAAAATAATCGTCAAACATATTACCACCCTAATTATTTATTAGGGTTTTTTTTAATTTTCTTTCATTCAGCTACTACCAGAAAGAGCTAACATGTAGCCCAAGAATTCTTTTGTCATTTAAATGGGACTTTACTTAGTTTTACATGTGCTCTACTGCATAAGGGGATGCACCACACATATTTGATCTGCCCTTTATGTGAAAATGGAGGGTTTTTCACATGCAAACCACTGGTACCCATCTCTGTCTGACAGGCAGCCATACAAACAAGGGACACTTGACTGGGGAGAACTATCAATGCACATGGATTTTTCTATTACAAGCGATGAAAGACTGGAATTTGATTCTCCATTGCCTTGATTCAATTTAAAACGTTTTAACTCAAAGAATGCTTTCCTTCCTTTCCAAGTAGACTCTCCACAGTACCTTGGCACCCCTGCAAACAAACAGGGTAGAAAACCAGTAGGCACTCCCTGAAACACGTGCCTTGGCACTGCCTGCATGGCTGGGGAGTGCCAGCTAACACAAGAGCTACAAGATTTACTGCAGCAACTGCCTCTAGGCTGCCCAGCTGAGTAACTCTAACCTTGCCACCAGTAGGCACCAATTGCTCTCTTTGACTTCAAGGGGAAAGCCCAGTAGCCACAGGGAGCTATGGTAGTTTGATTGAACAGCAGTGATGCATCAAAGTATCAATGGACAGCATCCTGCAAACACCGCGCTAGCAAAAAGTGCAGAACTGAAACACATTGTGCCTCCTATTTTCTATAGTTTCCTATTAAAATATTTATTTTTTTTTTTTCAGCTGAAAGGCAAGTTCTCTCAGTAGAATTCCTTTGCTTACCAAATAAATTTCAAAGGTTCACAAACATATGCAACTTGCTCCAGTCTTTTCTCCACAACTGCTGTTATTTTTCTCCTACAGGAAAATAAACAGATATTGGTTGGTGACTGTCGAGAAGCTCAGTGGGAAAAGAATGGACCAAATCACCTTTCTCAGTCCTGCTTCTCTTCCTGATAAAACAAAATATTCTGTATTTAGAAGATTGGACTACCCGTGCTGAAAGCCATACTGGCAGGAGTGACTGGTCAAGGGCCATGGAGCACAAAAAGCAGGTTCCACAGTGGCAAACATGGGCAAAACTCAACACATCCTGATTCCCAGCCCAGAAAAACACAATGGTGGACACCTAAGTCTATTTTTTCCTGGTCTTGATATAATCTTACTATCATAACTAGCTACATTCCTTTGGGCATGAGTGTTCAGTACTTAGCCTTTCCTCAGTAAGTAACTATTTTACTGAGTATTTCTATTAGTTTTTAACTCTACTTTCTGTCCAAGTAAGCATTCACAAATGTTCATATTTTTAGGGTTTTTTTTTGTATCAGCCATTTCATCTAAAGGAGTTGTGAAATAACACAGACCTTTTTGGTTTTTCTCTTGCGTGCAAAAGAGCCATCCAAAGCAAGAAGGGAAAGGACAAACGGAGCCATCAGGCCATTGGTGCTAGGAATGACTGGCAGGGCACTGTTTGTTTATAGGCTTTGAAATTTCATTCAGCATTGGGGCATCTGAGCCAAACATAACTGAGATCTAAGGAAAAACAGGTTTCAGGAGTCTTCAGGAGCATGAGAAGATTTATATTACAGCGAACTTCCATGTGAGAGAGGCAAGGGTGGTGTGATTTTAGAGAACAGCAGTGTGCAAAAAGAATTAAACTATGCAAAAAAGAAATTTGATTTTTTCATTCTTAATACTGAAGCCAGGTCTTTTTTATGAAAGGTAAGGCCTTATAACTAATAAATGGAAATGATGCAACTCCAATCCTCTACTGGCCATAACACACAACTCTGCTTCCATGGGGAAGTTTTCCTTACTTGCTTTGCATCCCAAGTTGTCATTCTCGAAACTCTGAATCAAATTAAATTATTGTTTTCACAAAAGGAAAAAAGGATAAAAATCTGAATATGGCCCTTTGTCAGTAATTATTTCTCTTGCAATTTGAGTTACACATGAAATCATTCATCTTTTGTTTAGTAAAGGATTTCATACAGCTCTGACCGCAAAGAAGAAAGAATGAGCTATGACTAATAGGAACTGATCATTTCTAAACATTAATCTGTTATAAAACAATGAAAAATAAAATGAAATCTACTTTATCTTCATAACAGGAGTACAAGAACATAACAGGTAAGGAGGAAAATTAATGAAAGAATGAATTTAAAATATGCCAGCACCAAATGCAGATAGTTTATCTCATTCTTCTGGAAGGCAAATTATTTTGCCCTATCTGATATTTTTAAAAAATAATAAAACAAACAATGGTATAAGCTAATTTGGAATAATTAGTCAAAATATTCAGTGCTGAGGGTGCAAATGTAAAACTGTACAGACTTTCAGTACAGTCTTAGAGATTCAATGCAGAGATAAGGTTTCTGATGTCTTAGAGACTGTCCCCCCAGTCTCTTGAATTCTCAGCATCTAAAACTATAGATACAGACAGGTTATCCAGCCCATATTTGAGATACTGATAGCTGGCAGTCACAGAAAGAAAGGTTAGGAGAGAAGTTAACAGCTCCATTGTTCACAGTACAGTCACCATCTCATTTTAAATATAAAAAAAAAAAAAAAAAAATCCAAGAAGGAAAAAAATATTTGATGCCCATCTATGCATGGCATCATTATGGTTATTCACTGTCAGCTGCCCAGACAGCTAAAGAAAAAGAACGTTCTTCCACACTTCCAGATAGCTGTTGTTTGTTGTAGTCCCCTAAGACACTGCAGGTGTTTGCCACCTGAGTAGATTGAATATCCTTTTAGGGGGATGTTTCCCAGAGGAAACATGATTAAAATATGTAGGATATGTAATAAGTGCCCTGAGAAACAACAAGAAAGGCTCTCACAGTAGCCACTGAGTTACTGAACCCCCCAGTTACGGTCAGGCCCAAAAGTTACTCAGTTTAGTAATTCACCAGGTTTACATTCTTGTCTCAAAATACCAGGAGAAATCAGGCCATATGGACCAACTGTCTGCCAGTTCTTTTCTGATTTTCCTCCATTTTATTTTTTTTACCTTCTTTTACTTAGAAAATTTAAATCCATTTTGATTTAAACAAGCACAAAAACGCTTCCAAAACTAATAAATTAATGCAATGTGTGCATATATGCATGAAGTGCATTATTATTAATGTTTCCAATTTAGCAACAGATGAACTCACCTCTTGTTTAAAAAAGCACATACCGGTACTTCATATGCCATGTGTCTCCCTGAAGTGAACAAAATCCAAGCAATCCTAAATTCCATATTTATGTTTTCTCACAGTCCTAAATTCATTCCACAGTGCAGTGGTGGTTTGCAGAAGCAAACTGATGCAGCATAGCTTTCTATACCAAAAAAGTATATTTTTAACATCTATCCTTCAGCTATCTAGGAATCTGAGACACCTGAAAAATGGTTTAGCTTCTCTGATGAAGATTACACAATTAAAAATATTTGACATGCACAGGTGCAATCCAGTGTTGTAATATTCAGACAGCTTTTTCTGAACTCAAGAAAAAAAAGGGAATTGAAGACCTTCTGAAGAAGGCAGAAAGTCAAGAGGACTACAAGGATGTTGTGGGTTATGCAGGGAAGAAAAGTTGATGGGCCAGTTTCCAGATAGAGCTTAATCTGCCTACTGTGGTAAAAAACAGTAAAAAAATTAATACATCAGCAACAAAAGGATGGCCAAGGAGACTCTCCATTGGATGCAAGAGGAAACATGGTGACAAGGACTGAGGAAAGGCTGAGATACTCAGTGTTTTCTCTGCCTCACTCTAACAGTCAGACTGGTTGTTCTCCTTGTACTGAGCCCCTGAGCTGAAAGACAAGGACAGGGAGCAGAATGGAGCCCCATAATCCAGGGAGATATTTTCAGTGATTGCTACACAACTGAGACACACCAAAGTCTGCGGGGCTGGATTGGATCTACCCAAGAGCTAAGTGTCATCACATGCAGGACAACCAGGGAATCAGCCCCAGACAACGTGGGTCTGTGACAGACAGCTCTTGCTTGACCCACCCAGCTCCTTCTGTGACAGGGCGACCCCCTCAGTGGATGAAGGTAGGGCTGTGGATGTGTTTCCCCAGACTTTAGAAAGCCTTTGACAATGTCTCCCACACATTCTCCTGGGGACACCGGCTGCTCATGGCCCTGCTTCACTGGGTATAAAACCGGCTGGATGGGCCCAGGGACTGGTGGGGACTGGAGCCACATCCAGGTGTGGCCAGGTACCAATGGAGTCCCCAGGGCTCAGCACTGGGGCCAGTCCTGTTTAATATCTTTACTGATGATCTGGACAAGGGGATCGAGGGCATGCCCAGTCATTTCATGGACAGCACCCAGCTAGGTGTGAGTGTGGATCTGCTGGGAGCACGAAGGCTCTGCAGAGGGATCTGGACAGGCTGGATCCATGGGCCCAGGCCAGTGGTCTGAGGGTCAACAAGGCCAGGTCCTGGGTGCTGCCCTTGGCTCGCACCAACCCCTGCAGCTCCAGGCTGGGGCAGAGGGGCTGGAAAGCTGGGAAAGGCCCTGGGGGTGCTGGGGACAGAGGCTGGCCAGGAGCCCAGGGGGGCAAGAGGCCAAAGGCACCTGGGCTGTGCCAGCCATGGTGTGGCTGCAGGGCCAGGGCAGTGACTGTCCCTGTGCTGGGCACTGCTGGGGCCACACCTCAGATCCTGGGGCAGCTTGGGAACCTCAGGACAAGATGGACATTGAGGGGCTGGAGCGTGTCCAGAGAAGGGAATGGAGCTGGGGAAGGCTCTGGAGCACCAGGAGGGGCTGAGGGAGCTGGGAAAGGGGCTCAGCCTGGAGAAAAGGAGGCTCAGGGGGAACCTTCTGGCTCTGCACAACTCCCTGACAGGAGGAGACAGCTGGGGCTCTGCTCCCAGGGAACAAGGGATAGGACAAGAGAAAATGTCCTCAAGTTGTGCCAGGGGAGGTTCAGGCTGGACATCAGGAAAAATTTCTTCATGGCAAGGGTGGTCAGGCATTGGAAGGGGCTGCCCAGGGAGGTGGTTGAGTCCCTAGCCCTGGAGGTTCAGATGTGCTTAGGGACAGGGTTTAGTGTTGGCCCTGGAAGTGCTTGTTTTATGTTTGGACTTGATCTTAGAGGTCTTTCCCAACCTAAATAATTCTATGATTGGCTTCCATTTTCTCTGATGTCTTAGTGGTAAAGAAAAATCCTCATTTTAATTAATTTTAAACAATACTAATTTATTAAATGAAATCATTTATGAACAGCAATTCTAAAGGAAGTGTTCTGATGTTAAAGCAGTTTCACAAGTGGTAAATTACTTTTCCCCTTAAAAATCCAGGCAGGGAAAACAGAAAGAACTCAGACAGCTTTGCTGCAATTAGTTCCTGTGGCAGTGGCTCTATTTATGGTTTCTCATGTAGATCCACCATCTCCTTCTTGATGTAGTGACAACTTTACCGTGTCAAAACCTGGGGAAATGCACATATACAATCTACCACAGAGTAGGGAGGCTGATTCTCACCAGGTGTAAGTGGCTCAAAAGCTGGTGGAGCACTGCCAAGTTACTCCAGCTGAGAATCAGCTTCACATAGACCCACTCCAAACTAGTCGGTTATTTGTGTTTCTCTTGGAATATCCCCAAAGGGCTCATTGCAGTGCCCAACTGTGTTTACATCTTTGAAACATCCTGAAATTGCTGCTGTCTGGGACTACAGCTCAGACTACAGACAGAGCTGGTAGTTCTTTTGTTCAAGAAGAAAAAAAAATGAGGGGAAAAGGCAGCAAAACAACAAAAAAGGCACTTTAAAATCAGCTCTGTCTCATAAAATTAAACTTTCAAGCAAATGTGAAAAATAAAGAGAAAACTGCTGTGGTAGATAGCAATTTCACTCTTGTGGTTTATGAACTGCAGGAAAGTGAAGCCAATTCCCCATAGTGAGATTACAGGTCTCCTCTTCTACAGGTCTTAAATTAAAAACTAGCTGAATCCAAAGTGAGCTAGTTTACTGGATCAGAGGATTCAATTATTTCTGCTAAGTAACTGAACATGAACTACTTCCTTTTAATAATACACAACTAATAATTACTGCCCAAGAAAGGACTTTTTCCTACTAAGCTAATTAAACTAAAGCAATATATTTTATAACTGCTCTCAAATTTAACTAAAGTGAGGAGCATCGAAAGAGCTTTACTGCAAAGTGGATGCAAAGAACTTTTGGCTTCATTAACTGCTTAAACTCCCCTTGCAAGAGGTCACAGTGAAATGTGTTAGAGAACTGATCCATATCCCTAATACACAACATGTAAGAGGTGTCTGAACTACTGATTTTCCTCCATTGTGATACTTTGGGATTGAACTGTTCCAGACTCCTCAACCACAGGAAATGCCAAGAAATTATATTTGAAAGAAAACATTTTCTGGGATGTTCATCAACAAGAAAATAAAATAAAAGCTATATTCTAAACTGCTGTGATTCCAGAATACCTAATAGGTAGAATTTATTGCATTGGTCTGACTGTGATAGTATTTATGGACTACAATAGATGTAGTTCAGTCTACATTTTCATTTGTTCACATACTTATTGCAGAGTTTAATTAGTTAATAACAACTATACTTCTTCAACATGATATAGAAAATTTACTTGGAGTTAGCTAATTTTTATTTTCTTCCATGCACTTTTTTCAGAAATGTTAACGATTCTTTCTAATTCATTTCAGTCTCTTATTTTGTCTGGAAGCATTCATTAGAAAGACCTCCAGAATTCAGCAAGATTGCTCATACAAGCAATAGCACCTGTATACTCAGAGCCTGATGAATGACATTCACATCTGTATTTTCAAATCATGCAGAAAATTAAATGCTTTCCAAACTAAATTTATCACACCAAATGCACCAATTTAAACTATTTTTTTCTTTGTTAAACAAAAGAAAATTAAGGATAAAAATGATCCAGTGATCTAGTCCTGATTCTAAAACAGCCAGAATGTTAAATCTCACTTTCAGCCACTGGAATACCTTTAACACTCTAGAAGTTCAGTATTGTTCAGTTCTCCACACCACTTTGCTGGAACAGCTGAGCTTAATAGATCAAAATAATTTTACAGGAAAAACCATGTTTATGATCTTCCATATGCTGCAGACTAAACTAGAAGTGCATTGTGGTTTTAAGTCATTTTAGAAGCACCACTTACAAAATGGAAAATGGCTTCTTGTAAAAGAGGAAATAAAAATATCACTCTAGCATTCTGTTAATATACCATTAAACTTGTATCTATGTGCCTCAGACTGATAACATATTTTAACAAGATGATGAACTTTCTCTCTTCTTAATATGTTGCTATTTCTTACACATCTGTCATGTCTTACATATCTTATACCGAATGCCTGAAATAAAATACCTTCAGCATTCTCACCACAGTAATAGAGCCACATCAGGTAGGCTTAGATGCCAAACTTCTCTCAAAAATTTCTGAAACCTGAGATGCTTCATTTCTAAATAATGAGAAGGGTCTATTATTCCCACTGACTACTTTCATTTTTTTTCAAGAACCATCTCAAGTCTAAGTTAATTACTTCTATTGCCTGACTCAAAGTCACTAATTAAAAAACTCCAAATAGTTCCTAACTTTAAGAATCAGGGAACATTTATCATTTTTAAAACATATTTTTGAGCAACCAAAACCCAGCAGTCTATAATTCATCCACATCCAGGATTTCTGCATCCATCCAAACAAAACTGTAGCACAGACATGCAAACAAGCCACCTGCTCAGAAATCTACTTAATCTGAAGGTTGAAAGAATTTTAGAGTGAATTTTGCTTCAGGAAACAGTACAGAAGCAAGTGCACTTCAGTTATTTGTATTTTTATCTTTTGACCCAGCGAGGGTGCAGCAAGAAAAGAACATAAAAGGATCAGGTATTTTACTAAGAAAAACGTGTAGTATGTTTTTTTCCAGTAACAAAAACTTTGATTCCCTATATATTTTTGTTATGTAGAAGATGCTAAATAGGTTTTTTGATTTGAAAGGGAACATAAGAACTAAGAATTGGAATGGTCACTTTGAGGCAGAAGTTCTTACTCTCTCTGAAGTCTGGGAAGTGAAACCCAGATTGTAACACCTTGAGCTGCTGCTGCTTTATATGGAAGCCAAACTCCCAGCTTGGGGGGTTTATTACGTTAAATGAAGTCAATGTTTTATCTTGATACCATTTCATTTTAATTGATGTTCACCTCAATGACTAAAAATTTGTACAAGGTCCCAGAAAGTAAACATTAGGCAATTCATCACTGGCAAATGAAAGCATGTCTGTCTCATGAAATGAATCTATAAATCTTCACTGATGGAAACTGAGTTTAGCGAGGAATGAAAAAGTCTGTTACAGCTGTTCTTGAAAAGATGGAGGAGGAGGGCACTGAAATGGAGACCTAGGCCTGGAGTCTGTGTGGAACCAAAATAAGGCTGACTCAGTTTGCCCCTTTGCATGCTCTTTGAAACTGCCCTGATTGCACCTGGAAGTTACCAACCTTTCTATGCAAAGTGCACATGCACACACACAAAGAAGAAAGAGAACATTTGACAAGGAGTCAAATAACAAAGTCACCTACTCTGTGATAAAACACAAATCAGACAAGAAAGTAACAACTCAGACAAGAGTTACGTACCCACAGCTAAGCACTACTGAGCACCCTGGATGCACAACTTGAGTAAAGACACTTGGCTGGAATAGTCCAGACAACTGCAATGCACCAAGAAAAGAGACAACAGGTTGGAACAAATTTCCAGCTCTCCAGCCAAAGGGGAATGATGGTTTGGAGAATAAGCCCCCTGTTGAGGCTGCTTTGGGCTGATACTCACTGATGCAACCTACATGTTGATGTCCTTTAGACTGGAAGGAATTCACCCGTCTCCTCTGACAAAGCCAGAGCTCACAGGATGGGCCTCACCCAGTTTGCTAAAGTTCATAAAAACAAGACTTGAACAGAAAGAAACTGGTCTCCACGTACACACCCTTAACTTTCTTCCCTCAGTTCCCAATTTTGGAAACATAATGTGGTACCAGAGCTGTTGGTCCATGTGTAAACATGACAGGCCAAATCTAATCAACACTCCATTGTAAGGAAGCTACTAAACCCCAGGAGTCTAGCCCAGGCATCTATCACTGCAGGACAAATGGTCACAAATGCCTTTCTATGCTGACATTAATATTTTCTCTCTCATCTTCTCTGACTGGGAAATTAAGAGTTTCTGAGGTTCAGAAGGCCTTTAACAAAAGAATGAAGGAGGAAATGAGAATACATAGATCCTAGAAAAAAAAAATTACTTCTGCAAAAAGAAAAATGAGGTTCTGTTTCACAGGAATAGATCCTTCCAGAAAATTGAAGCCAAGTAAAAATCCACTCTGGATAATGAGTCTGGAGGCAATCTCATACAATAGGGCTTCTTTAAGCTTTCCAGACCAATATGTCATTTAGAATAATGAAACTGTCACATGTTTCCGAGACAGTTTTGATTGTCC